AAGCCCCAGTGATGCTGACATAGCCGTATTTCTCATAAGAAGATCCTTTGTGAAAATATACTTTTCCACAACAAAAACTCGAGGCACTGGAAAATTCATTGCCTAATGGTTAGACAGCTGAGCAACCTGAAGATTAGACTTCATTTCATACTTCATTTTCTTTCATAATTCCCCTTTGTTTCATAGCTTAAGCCAAACAGAAAGCAACATTATAAAAATATACAGACATTCCACTGGCCCATACGTCACCCACTAGATCACAGGCTTCCAGCTTTGCGAAAGAGAATAAATTTCCCATGGTCCACAACAGTCTAGCTGTTTTTTCAGAGGTTTGAAAGAGTAAAAGTGGGGCTTAGAGAGCAATCGCAATTTACAATTATTGTGCTGATTCCCATCTCGAAGAAAGGTGTGTGATGAATAGATTCGAAGGTCGACCCGACCAGAAGACAACGGCGAAACCCAAGTGGCCAACTGTGGGTTGGTTTATAAAGAACGTTCTGGTGCATGGTATTCATGAGGAAATCACCTTCAATTGCTGTAAAAATGTGCTCAGCGTGCGGCTTCCATGAGATCATTCCTACAACTAATCCGAGCTGGTCAATGAAGAAAAATCCCTAGCTCATCCCTGCATGAAACCATTAAAAAAAATTTTAGCGAAAAGTATGCGATTTTGAGGTTTTGTCAAGTGTAGGATCGTTTATCTCTCGACAAGGAAGAGACTACTGCCCACAAGTAGCAAAAACAATGATAAAGATGATGCGATCCTCGTTGATTATGCCGTCCATCGAACTTAATAAAAAGGGGTAATTCGTACTCCTTGATAAAACCCAACTGTATCATTATGAGGACGACTATGAACATTATCTTTAGGCCGGATTTAGGGAAAGCTACACCTGTAACCTCAACATGCTATTTTCTTTCGTATACTTTACTCACCTTCGTCAAAGCCAATTGGGGCTTAGGGTTGGGTTCACCTCGAGACTAAAATGTTAAACAAAATGATTAAGAATGGAAGAAGTTTCCTATTATATTTGGTAAAAATTATTAATGATTCTATAATAATAATAATTATTATTATTATTATTATTATTATTACCTCAAGTTGCTGATAAACCGAAGGTAGCAGTCCTAAGTATGAGCGAATAGATGATAATACTTGGCTTTAAAATCGTTTTTCAAATGGAATAAGTTATAAATCTAAGGCAGGAGAAAGCATTCTGTTCGTTTTTGTAAGTTTTATAGCCGGAATCACCTGTCATGGTCACACTCATTGCTCTCAAATGTCACAGCAATTTGCACTAAAGGGGCCCCAGGTCAGAAATAGAACGGCTCAGTAGAAGATCACGTTCCCTTTAGGTTTCCTTTGCACAGTTTTCCAAAATTTTCAGCCACGTCATTTCTCTTCAATCCTGAAGGCAGATACTTTTCAGTGAACATAGTTTCATATTTTTACCTTGTCTTTCTTCTTGGAAGACAATCCTTCCTACATTCTACAAGGAGCACCCTGGAGATCTGGGCGGAATAACACCATGAATCAATATTATTCCTATCAACATGACGGTACCCTCCCAAATTATCTTAAGAAGATTGAGCTAATGCAAATAAAGTTCGAGCTCTATTCCATCTTGTATCATCT